AGTCTCGTAGTGAAAAGGACTTGCAACACAAGATCAAGTGGATCGAGAAAAGGAAAATAGCGTTGAAAGGCGATCTTCCTGACTGGAATGGGTGACGTCACTCAGACAAGTCGTCCAAAAAAGGGCCGTATTCACCAACTAAACTGTGGTATCCATAGCCAGGCTCATCTGTGGCGGCGAGCCATAGACGGCCGTTGCACCACCAGATACCGACGTAGATGGCATCGGTCTAGCCAGAGAGCCGTACTGGCTGTTGGGATTTTGCATTGTGGCGCTCGGCGAAAAGTGTGGAGAACTTCCCAGTTGAGTCGGAGGCATGTTGACGCCATGCAGCGAGGCCATGGAGCCAAGAAACTGAGGCTGCGCAACTCCAGCCAGGCCAGGAGCTGACGTTTCCACGGGGACTGAGGCAGCCGGCCCGATAGCCGCAGGCCCAATGCCGCCGGCCATGTAGCCCATCACGGCCTGTTTTGTCTGACGAGCCGACTGCAGTTGTTCTCGCAGCCTGGCGGATACTGTGGCCGCTGAAGTGGCTCCACCGGGCGCTCCTGCAAGTCCGGTCCCCGGGGTCAGGTGGCTGGTGGCATGACTGAACGCACTGGCAGCCGGACCTCCTAAAACCGAGGAGTAGAAGGCGGAGACTGGCGGCGCGGTGAACAACGAGGGCACGCCGCCCCCAAGTCGCGAGTCAGTGCCGGCGAGCAAATGTGCTCCACCGGAAGCATCGTAACCGCCAGAACCAGGAGGTAAGGTGCCACCGAACACCGAGCCTGCACCGCCATGCGCTCCGGACTTGAGCAATGCTTCAGTCTGGCTAGACTCTTCCAACAGGTGCTGGCTGTGCAGGGCTATGTAGTTCGTGGACATGGCGAGCGCCGCGAAGAGGCTGAAGAAGCCAGCAATGACTGCGAACGCAAAGCTCCAAGATAGCTGATTGTGATCGGCTTGAGGCAGCCATTCCCGATCCTTGCTCATCACACCAACGAGGATGGTAACGATGGTGAAGCAACAGACTGGTTTATGTTTAGTTAGTTAAAGGAGAACACGAATAAATTGATAAATATGAAAGGTTTTTAATTTTTTGTTTA